GGGCCAGGCGCTGGGAACAAATGTGCATTTGTTAAATTTGACAATAAAGTCCTACAGCGAAGCTGCCAAGATTGGGTCAGTGGGTGGGGGTGGAAGACAGCGGGGTGGAGGAGAGCTAAACTCTCAAAAGGCGAGGCCAAAGCGCCTGGCCCAGGTATTATGTTGGGAGAAGGTGAGGAGAGCAGCTGCTCCTTCTCGCGGGCTGTGTATGGGAGCGAGGGTGCATGTGTCCCTGTGAAGAGTACACACCGATCTGCTCAACATATGTCGCCACAAATCACAGTTATCTCTCCCTCCTCCCACCCCCCGCTCCCTGCGCGGCTCCTGACCGAGCGCAGAGCAGAGAGGGGCGCTGAGAAGAGGCGCCGCTTCAACAGGTGTCTTGGTGCGCAATGCACCTTTTCACGCATTGACGGTCTCAGCCGCCGGCGGGGATAATGTGGACACTTTGTTTCCAGGCGCCGCGCGCGAGCTGCGGACGCCTAGGGGAGGCGGCCCTGAGCAGGGAGGGGGGATCTGGAAATAAAGACCTCGGGCTTTCCTGAGTGCCCGGGCCCTCTCTTCCCTTTGTTCAAAGACTCCCTGGGCCAGAGCTCCCTCGTGCGCCCTGGGGGGTGGCATATGGCGCCCTGTCACCTACCCAAGAAAAAGAACCGGCCACCCTTTCAAGAGCGCACGAGGTCCCTGGGCCTGGGGAGGGGGAGTCTCTGAGGGAACGGCTTCTCTCCGAAAGTGGGTGAGGAGTGCGCCTTATCTCTCCCCACCCTGCCTCCACCATCCCCTCAGCTGGCGCAGCAGCCGTTGGGTGGGGAGCTGCGCGCTGAGCAGCACCAGACTGCGGAAGCGCTCCAGCTCCTGGCAGATGAAATATGGGTCTGGTGAGCCCCTGGAGACCATATGCTTTCAATAAAAGAAGACAAATAGGACCGAGATAGGCCTTGCAGCCAACCTGTTATAAATGAGTGGCAATTGGGCCAATGTACACGGGGGCAGGGCCCCCGGGGGGAGGCCTGCTCTGTGCCAAATCCATGTGTCAGCTTCTGGGACAGGTGTGCCCAGGGGCCAGGGGCCAGGTCTCCCCCCTCCGGGTTTATCACGGCAAAGGTAATATTGTGCTAACTATGAGTAAACAGTCATTGTGAAAATGAGGGAGAGTTTATCAGAGGCGAACTAGTTGGGGGTGGCTTAACAATAAAGTTGTTCGCCTTAGGAGCAGGTGACGGCTGGCTGCACGGACTCCCGCGGTAGATGTTTTCCAAAGCACTCCACTTTACAATCTCTTGTAATTATTTATTAAACGAAATCTATTTATTATTATTTTAGCAAACACTGGAGACAGGTGGGGCTTTCTTTTCGTCGTCTCCTTTTGTTTGAAGGGCTGTTTGAAGTGGCCAGTCTCGGCCCGGGCAGCTCGCTCGCCAGATTTTTGTCTTCCCCTCTTTCACTGCTGAGCTGAAGGCGAGAGAAAGAATCCCCCTCCTCTGGCAAGTCATTAGCTATTCAGCTTCCCATGGCCCCCCTCCCTCCCTGCACAACTCTCAAAGAGCCCCCAGGCAATGCTAAAACTACCCCCGCCGACAAGAAGGCAAGAAGGCTGGCCGCTGCCTTCCTTCTTTTCCAATGTGCCCGCTGTCTCCAGGCCTCTGACTACCGCCTCTCTCCGGGACCCCCTCAGCCTCCAGGCAAACTTAGATCTCAGGAGGTGTAGGGGTGCGGGAGTCCTGGAGGTCTTAGGGGCGGTGGATGACCAGGAGCTGCAGGAACAGACTCTGCTCTCTGCGGGAAGAGCGATTTCACAAACATTGCCGGTGCGCACGGAGTCATTACCGCCTGCGCCTCAGCAGCCAAAGGCACAGGAATTAACTTTGGAGAGGGGTCTATGCCTCCCCTGCAGCTGAGACAGAGGGCATGAATCCTCAATCTCTAATCCTCTAAGACTCCTTGACCTCCGGCCCTGGCCTCCTGGCTGGAAGAAGGCTGCGGGAAGTCCTTGCATCCCTCAAGAAGGCGGTTGCCCCCAGCCACCGCGCGCTCCTGGCCTTGGCTGCTTTTTGCGCAAAGCAGGAGTGATGGAGAACTGCAAGCCCTGGAGGGCCCTGAGCCGGAGGGGTTAGGGGGAGGCTGGATAAGAATTCCAAGCAGATCCCAGAATTCTCTACCTATCAAGAAAGCTTGAAAGAATCCCCAGAGTCTTTCCTGGCATGGGAAGCTCACCCTGCCAACCTCCTTAGTATCCATTAGCCACTCCAGGCAGGCCCTGGCCAGAGTGAAACCTACCTCTATCTGAGGTCCACCTACCCCCATCTGAGGTCCACTGCCAGATGAGAGTCATCCACAGGCCTCTGGGAAACAAGAGCAGTACTTGGATGGCTCATGGCCAGGGTTCCCTCCATGGAGCTTAGCCAGGTCAGGAGAACCTAGAGAAGCATGGTTTGGATTTTCTCTCCCAGACCCAAAAGCTCCAAGTTGGTTCTCTCCCAGTTTCTGATTTGCAGGTAAATAAATCAAGCAAGGCTGGGGTATGAGGCAGACAAGTTTGGAGGAGGAGGAGGAGGACGAGGAGGAGGAGGAGGAGGAGAAGAAGAAGAAGAAGAAGAAGCAGCAGCAGCAGCAGGGGCAGCAGCAGCTTGAATGGATGCTGGCTCCCCTTGCCTGGAAAATGGGACCATTACTTCTTTTCTGATCTGACCCCCAGACTCAGGACTTCCTCTATTTTCTGCATTTTGGGATCTGTTGTTTTGCCTTGAAAAAAAATAAATGTTTTCCCCCAAATCAAGGAGGGGTTGCTGGTTCAAAGGGAAAATCTGGGACTAGGAGTCTGAAGATACGACTTCTGTGTGGTTCTGATAGAACTTGCTGTGTGACCTTGAGAGAGTCACTCCCCCTCTCTGGGCCTTGACTTTTTCATCTTTAAAGAAGGCCTGGAATTCCCATTCTTTTGAGGAGAAGACAAGTTCCTAGCCAGTGGTGACGTAAGGGAGGAGCTGCAGCAAAATGCTACCCCGACAGTCCCAGATGGTCCCTTTGTTGATTCTGACCCTGGTCTCAGGCTTCATTTCCCTACAGCAAGGGAAGGAGCCTCTGCTCACAGAGCACCTTCTAAGATTGGCAGGACTGTGCCACACCCCCGCCCAGTCCTAGAGCACCCCTCTCCCTGGTTCCTGAGCACATCACCCTCTTCCTTGGAGGAAAATTTGCCCCCAAGCAGCCTGGGCGGTAAGAGGCTATCACTAGGGCAGACTCACAGACTACCTCATCCCCTCACCCCACCCTACAGTCTCGAAGTCGAGTCCTGTCCCCTCCTGCAGTTTCCGGGAGACTCAGGATATCTGGATCCGCTGGAAAGTGAAGCCTTCCTCGCCTAAGGAGACTTAAACCCGGATACTTAACCCCCCCGGCCTCGGCTTCTTCCTCCAGGCACGATCGGGTCAAGAGAGAGAAGCGGAAGCTGCAACCCCTCACCCTGAGTGACCGGAAGCAGAAGACCACGGGATGTCCCAGGCGGGGACAAGAGGAGGGGCTGGGGAAGAAAGGAGGGATGATGAGTTCAGACTCCCTTTGGAAAGGTTTCCAGAGAGCGCTACCAGGGGCAACCCCAGGGGCTTGGGGAGTCCCTACCTTGTGCTCACTGTGCGATGCCCGAGTGATGCCGAGGCAGGGGGCTGGAGCAGGTGACTGCCGGCAGCCGCTGTCTGTCTGTGATTGGACCGAAGGACTAAGGGGAGAAAAAGTTTATCTGCTTCTCCCAGTGCCTGCACACCGTGATGGTTCAAAAGACACAAGGGGGAGGGGCGCCGCGGCTCTGCTTCCCAGCGCTTTGGGAGACTGAAGTGAAAGGAACGCTTGAGCCCAGGAGTTCGAGACCATCCTGGGCAACAAAGCAAGACCCCCCTGCCATACAAAATAAATTAGCCCAGCACAGTGGCGCACGCCTGTAGTCTCAGCTACTCAGAAGGCTGAAGTGGGAGGATAGCTTGAACCTAGGAGATCAAGGCTGCAGTGAGCCGTGATTGCACCACTGCAGTCCAGCCTGGGTGACAGAAGGAGACCCTGTTTTGGTTTTGGTGTTTTTCTATTTGTTTTTGTTTTTTTGTTTTTTGTTTTTTTTTTTTTTTTTTTTTGTCTGTTTGTTTGTTTTTTAAAAAAAAAAAAAGACGCAAGAGCTCACTGTGAACTCCCGGTTCCTTCCTCCCCTCCTCACACTTCCCAGAACTCTTCCTGTCACGGTTCCTAGACAGAATGCTGGGATACTATCCACAAGCTGTAGTAGGCTTGTAGTAATGGAATGTCCCCTTGAGGGGTCCCCCCACAGCCACCCGCTGCCTCTGGAGTGGGATCTATGGGGGTGGGGTTCTAAGCGCCTCTGGGGAGAGTGAGGTAGCATTTCAGGGTGTGGCAGAGGCTCGGACACCCCCAATAGAAGGTCTGTGAATGGAAGGGACATAGGCAGGAGCTCTCTCAGTGATGGCCCTTGTCTTCCAGGATGAAGAGAGGCAGTGGAACACCAGGAGAGCAGGGCGTACTTTAGAATTCCTGGACCCTTCTCCAGGCTGCTAGTCAGGACAACGAGCTCCTGGTTGTCTCCGCCACTATCTTGCTATGCGATTTCGGACAAGCCATCTCCCTCACTAAGCCTAAATTTCCCCACGTGTAACGTGTGGGCATTGTACACTAGAGGCATCAAAGTCCCCTCCAGGACAGATGCTAAGTAAAGATAGGCTAGGAGCAAAGCGGTCTGGGGTGGCCAGACGAGAGCCACACGAGGCCCTTCTCACTGGGCGAGGCTCTTTGAGGAACTGAGAGTTGCTGGGACCCAGCCCGCGGCGAGAGAGCAAACAGAGCGGCGCTCCCCTCCCCCGACCCCGGCCCTTTGTCCGGAATCCAGCTGTGCCCTGCGGGGGAGGAGCGGGCTCGCGTGGCGCGGCCTCAGGGCCCTGGCGCTGATTGGCCGGTGGCGCGGGCAGCAGCCGGGCAGGCACGCTCCTGGCCCGGGCCAAGTAGATAAAGCGTGCCAAGGGGCACACGACTTGCTGCTCAGGAAATCGCCGCGGTCTCACCTCTGCGCCGCGCGAGAGAGCGCGACAGAGGCCCGGGACCCCATTCTCTCTTCTTTTCTCCTTTGGGGCTGGGGCAACTCCCAGGCTGGGGCGCCTGCAGCTCAGCTGAACTTGGCGACCAGAAGCCCGCTCAGCTCCCCACGGCCTAGCTGCTCATCGCTCTCTATTCTTTTGCGCCGGTAGAAAGGTAACATTTGGAGGCCGCCGAGGGACGGGCAGGGGAAAGAGCGCTCCTCTGACCCGGCGGGGGCTGGGAGGATGGCTCTTTTTGTTTTTTCCCACCTAGCCTTGGAATAGCGGACTGCGCCCAGTGGCAGACTCAAGCTTACCTTCCCTCTGACCCCGCCGTAGGATGACGCCTCATCCCTCGGGTGCGTCCACTGTCCAAGTGACCGGTGAGACGGAGCGGTCCTTCCCCAGAGCCTTGGACGACGAAGTGACCTGCTCCACGTCCGCTCCGCCCAGCCCCACTCGCACACGGGGGAACTGCGCGGAGGCGGAAGGGGGAGGCTGCCGAGGGGCGCCAAGGAAGCTCCGGGCACGGCGCGCGGGGCGCAGCCGGCCTAAGAGCGAGTTGGCACTAAGCAAGCAGCGACGGAGTCGGCGCAAGAAGGCCAACGACCGCGAGCGCAATCGAATGCACAACCTCAACTCGGCGCTGGACGCGCTGCGCGGTGTCCTGCCCACCTTCCCAGATGACGCGAAGCTCACCAAGATCGAAACGCTGCGCTTCGCCCACAACTACATCTGGGCACTGACTCAAACGCTGCGCATAGCGGACCACAGCTTCTACGCGTTGGAGTCGCCGGCGCCGCACTGCGGGGAGCTGGGCAGCCCAGAAGGCGGATCCCCCGGGGACTGGGGGTCCCTCTACTCCCCAGTCTCCCAGGCTGGCAGCCTTAGCCCCGCCGCGTCGCTGGAGGAGCGCCCCGGCCTGCGGGGGGCCACCTCTTCCGCCTGCTTGCGCCCAAGCACTCTGGCTTTCTCAGATTTTCTGTGAAGGGACCTGCCTGTCGCTGGGCTGTGGGTGCTAAGGGTAAGGGAGAGGGAGGGAGCCGGAGCCCTAGAGGGTGGCCGATGGCGGCGACCCTCAAAAGCACTTGTTCCTTCTGCTTCTCACTGGCTGACCCCTGGCTGGCCCAGGCCTCCGCGGGGGCTGCAGGCTGGATTCATTCCCTGGCCCTCCGAGCCGCGCCAACTCACGCAGCCCTTGCTGCCCGCGCGAAGTGGGCATTGCAAACTTCGCTCATTTTAGGCCTCCTCCCTGCCACCACGCCATAATCTCATTCTAAGAGTACGAGAATGGTAGCACTACCCGGCCGGAGCCGCCTACCGTCTCGGGTCGCCCTACCCTCACTCAAGTCTGTCTGCCTGTCAGTCTCTTACCACCCCCTCCTCCAATGTGATTCAATCCAATGTTTGGTCTCTCAGCGCTTGCTCCCCTTGCCCTGCTCCAAAGACGCTGCCGATCTTCTCTACTCCCAATCAGGTCCGGGGTTTCAGGGCGCCTCGCTCTGCCTTAAAGCCACGAAGGCGACCCTCTGCCTTCTCCTCGTGCACTTTTCGGAGCCATTGCCCTCCCGGGGCGGAAGACCAGGCTATGAACTGGGAAAGCCCAGCCCGGCCAGGGAGCACCTCCCCAGCCTCCCTGCGAGCTGCGCCTGAAACGAGAGCTGCGCTGCAGGTGCCTGGAGCACCGCGCATGTTTTTTGTTTTGTTTTGTTTTTTTAATCGGTTTGTAAATTATATGATGTCTTTTGAAATCAAGTTTGGTACAGTAAATTATATGCCCCCCCCCCCGCCGTTTTACACATTTGTATTTATTAATGAGATTTCACAGCAAGGAAAAGTCTATATTTTGTATATTAGATTATTTAGGGATTGCTGGGTGAGATTTTAAGCCAATTAAAAAAAAATGGACCTTCAGGAAACCTTGGCAAGGTGACTTCATTGTGCGTTGGGGAGAGGAGAGCTACAGTCACTACAGCTGAGGAAGAGCACCTCTGTCCAAGGAGAGGGATGACACTCTTTCTAGAGGTCTGGACTAGAGCCAGGGCAGATTGGGTTTGGAGAGCTGGAAGTCTTATAAGTAATTATTGGTCCAGCCCCCTTTTTTCTATGTAGGGCAATGAATCCTCTTATTTCAAAGAGCGGTTTAGAAGAAAGACAAGCCTCCAGCTAGGACTACTGACTCTCACTTGCCGGCCCTTTCCCCAACTCCACCAGCCTAGCTCTAGAGCAACTGTTGGTTGCACTCGGGGAAGGCAGACAGTAATAATTCAATTGCAGACTCAGAGTCCTTGGAAACACAGCTGGGCTGGGCATCCTAGGAATTTTCCCAAGGTGCTTAGAGGCCTAGCACATCCCCTGAGCATATTTTACTCAGGCACTGAGGTGGCTGTGTCTTGAATTTGTTGAGCTGAGCAGCCAGGAGCAAAGAAGGTGGAGTGTCTGACTGGAATCTCCGGCAACACCCTCTCCCTCATTACCTGGCAGCCTTGATTGAAAACTTATCAAGAAACTGTTCAAGGTTTCCAGCCACACCATCTCTCTTACTGGCAAGGTGGAAGGACTGGTGCAGCATGGGCACTGAAATCTGTCCCAGGGGTGCCAGTAGAACACCCTTACATGACTTCAGGGACCCCTAGGACCTTAGAGAATATGGTCTAAGCTGTAAGGATCCACAGAGTTCGCCTGCTGCTTGGGAATAGGAAAGTGGAGGACAGGCACCCTACCTGCTAGTTGAACTCCAGAGACCTCCTTGAATTGACCAGGGGTGTCCTGGGAAGAAGTGGGCCAACCCAGGTCGGGTGTGGTGCTGCCAGACCCCCGGAGCTGGTGGAGAGGTTGCTTTTCCAGCACATTAGAGTGCAAAGGTGAAGTCTTCTCAGGGGTTAATGCCTCTTGCATCTCTTTCTCTCCTATGCCCTACCCAATTCAAATGGAAATTTTCCCTTCTCTACCATAAATCTGTAAAGTTAGCTCAGAGGAGACTTGTCTCAGTTATCAGCCGCAGGATTTGGGGGTGGGAAGAGGGACACAGCAAACAAACGAATGAACGAAGGTGTTGTTTCATTTTGTGGCTTTAATCTGGGAGGAGGAGATTAATGGGTTATTGATGACCTCTGCAATAGCCAACTTTCCACCTGGGGCACCGCCTGGGGACAGGTGTCAGCAGCTTGGGAGTTGCACAAAGCAAGCAAACACCTGTGATTTGCTGGGCGTTAGGGGTACGGGGTGGGCAGACATAAAAATCAAGAAGGTCTCTTTATCCTCGCAGGACAGTAGCAAGGATATAGACACAATCACTCAAGGCCCAAGAAATATTGGTGGTTGGGGGAGGTATGAGCCGCAGGATGGAACATCAAACTGTCACCTTGGGGCTGGAGTGCCGGAAGCTTGCAGGAGGAGGTGGCATTTGGACCAGGACTAAAGGTTTGGAGAGGAATTCCTCAAGTGGAAAGATTCTTTGTCCTGTGGAACGCTGTGTGAAGTAGTGTTCATCATCTAGGCAGGGGACTCTCTGGGTACAAACGGCCCCCAGAAGCTGGAGGAGCGTTTGCTGGGTTAAGGTTCTCCAGGAGGCAACCGGGTGAGCTGCGTTCTCCCCCACAGCCCAGTCCTTCTCCTGCTTTTGAGGGCGCTCATTAAGGAGCCATTAGTCACCCAACACACACAGACTGGTCCTCCGCCCCACAAATTAAAACACGCACGTTCGGGTTAACCAACTCAGCTGCTGGGCCGCCACCTTGGGTTGGGGCGAATTAGACCCCCGAAACTGTCAGCTCCACTCTCCAAGTTGGGAGAAGGTGGAGGAGGGTTTAGGGTTTCTCTGAATCACGGGGGCAAAGTTTAGGGTTCGGTGCTGGATGAGCTCCGTCTAAGTGTGTAAAATCACGCTGCGGTGGGAAAGCTCGCCCATGCCTCTTTCCAAAGAACCCCTCAGCAAGAAGAACTAGGAAACATTTCTAGGGATGGCCTGTCCAAATAGCTCTGCACCACCGCCCCCGCGCCTTCCACCTCTTGCAGCGTTTTGAGTCCTGGGGCTTTTAAAACCGCGCTGCTAGCGGTCTCTGCCCGGACCCTGCCTCTTCACCGTCAGCCAGCGCTTCTTCGGCTGCGGAGCCTGCTGCGGTCTGAAACCAACAGTGTCCGAAATCCGGGCAGGAAAGACTCTCGGGTCGAATGGCTCTTCCCCCGTCTTCTGCTTTTGTCTGAGCCCAAGACTGGCTTCCAGAAAAACAGCACATGAATCTTGCGTCTCCCTCCAGTCAAGCCGCGCTGGCACACAAGCAGGTAGATTTATGGTGCCCTGCCCCCATCCCACCCCACCCCCAGCCGGCCTCAGTCGGAGGACAAAGCGTCCCGGGGCCATTGGAATGCTAATGTCTGGGAGCCAGGCCGCTGGGCTGGCACAAAGGTAGGCGGGGCCCGTGGCGCACGCGACCCCACAGGCGCACACCGTCCCTTCTCTCCCTTGCGGACTACCGGGCCGTGTGACCTTGGACAAGTCTCCTTGCCTCAGCTAATCCACAAGAGAAGTTGGAAGGAGTTCCTAATACCCTTTCGCTGGGTTTCTGGGTGCCTGTCACAAGACTGACACAAGGTGAACGGCACCACAGTCCCCTCAAGACCGGAAACTGTGGGGAAAAACAAAAACAAAAAACCCTTCAGACCCTGAGACTAGAGACAGTGTGTGGGGAGGGTCTGGGGGATTCACCTGAGAATGTGGCACAGAACAACCGCTGGGTACATTGTAATTACATTTATGTAAGGAATACTCTCTGCTGTGTGCCTTTTCGTCTGCCCCCTTTAAAAATCCCTGCAGACAGATTTCCACAAAAGTGTGTGAGGAAGCGGAGGGATGGGGTCGGGGGGTTGTGACTCTGCTAACTTTACCTGGCTGTTCTGCCTTCCAAGGGCCAAGTGAGCAGTGAGTGACTTGAGGCTAGACACTTTATCTCCGGTACCCTCCTACAGCCAATGAGGAGGGCAAGGCAGTGTGGTCACATCCATGGAAACAGAGAAGATGACTCGCCCAAGGCCCTCAATCACTAGGCGAGTTATTGCAACAAACTAGGACTGATGCCCTGGTTCTAAGCTGGCAGTTTGGAACTCTTTCCTCTGTGCTGGTAGATAGGAGTAGATAGGAGCTGGTAGATGGCGAATCAATCTATAGTAATATGTCCTTTGACTAGAACCGGGTCCTTGGGGTCTTATAAGGTCCAGGGGTCCCTGAGCTTTGGCCTCCCTGGACCCCTGACGAAGTTCCAGGCTGCTGTCTGCTGCCTCTGCTTTTGGAATCAGTGGGCCAAGGCCGACGGAGCCGATGCCTGTCTAGCTGAGCCTGTCTAGCAATTGCTCTGAGATCCTGAAATGCGGCTGCGCGCCCCTGACCATGGTGCTGAAATGACCACGCAGATCCAGCGCGAGAGGTGCGTCTGGGAGTGAGGGGTTCTCTTACTGAAAACCACCTATCAACCCCCTCTGCCCGCGATTCCAGTCCGTAGTCCTAGGGAGGTCCCTGTGGACATGCAGACCCAGAGGACTGTCAGGTTTCCCTAGTGAGAAGAGGAAAGCAAGGTCTCTGTTGCTACTGACTTGCCTTTCTCTCTGTGCACCTTAGGACTCCTGCCCTTATAAATTACGGAGCTAGAATTAAGTAACTAGCTTAGGACTTTCTGACAGCATCTGAGAGGCCTGAGGTGAACAACTTTTGAAGTTTAAGCTGAGGCAGCCCTAGCTGGGAGAACTGGTTTGGAACTTTGCCCTCAACAGGGCTCTCATTGTTTGGGTTACATGCTTTAGTTATTCCAAGAACAAAGCCCAAAGGAAGTCCTCCAGATGCATACACAGGAGATCAAAGTAGCTAAGAGATATGATTTTAGAACCCCACAGACATAGGTTCAAGTCCCAGTGCTGCCACACCTAGTGGTTTTCAATTAAACCCCGTTGCCTCTCCTAAGAACTATTTTCCTCATTTATGAAGATGGGACAATAAATAGTAGCCACATAATTGGGCTATTGTACTGATTAAACATGTTTGTCCAGCCTTCTAAGCTTCCATAAATGGTATTTACTATAATTAGCATCTTTATTTGCCTCAAATTCTTCTCTTTCTCAGCTGAGCACAGTGTCTCATGACTGTAATCCAGTACTTTGGGAGGCAGAGGTGGGCAGATCACTTGAAGCCAGGAGCTCGAGACTAGCCTGGCCAACATAGCAAAATCCCATCTCTACTAAAAATAAAAAAAAGTAGCCAGAAAAATCCCATCTCTACTAAAAAAAATTAAAAAATAAAAAAAAAAATTGGCCAGGCATGGTAGAGCACACCTGCAATCCCAGCTACTCAGGTGGCTG